TCCTTCCTTCCTTTCCTCCTTCTCTGATAGAATTTCTGATGGCCCATGGGACATGAGGGGAACCATCTTCTAGCAGTGTACTCCAGCGGCCATGGGGTTGGTGATGGCACATCACCTTGACGCAGAGAGTGAGTGCAGAAATGGATTCATCCTTGCGGTGCGGAACGAGGGCAGTGCGGAGGCAATGCGACTTAGATTTGTGATCGCACTGTTTTGGCTGGTTTGTATTCTTACTCACTTCGATAAACTCCTGTAAGCGTGATAAAACCGCTTGTACCGGTGGAGGTTGTGTGGCGTTATAGTGTGTGTGGTTTGGTTTTGTTTGGTGTGTTTGTTGTTTTTGTGTTGGGTTTGGTGTTTGTTGTGTTGTGTTGTTTTGTTGTTGTTGGTTTGGTGTTTGTGGGTTGTACATCTTGTGCGTCTCTGCACCCGCTCACTGAACCGTTTGTTTGGATGTACGTTTGTTAACACGTTCAAAGTGTCCGTGTAAATGGGGCTTTAGAAACGTTCCACTGTATTCCCAGCGGGGCTATGTACATCTCTGGCCTACTTGTGTGGAGTGCAGCAGTGGTTGTCTCCAGTGTCTGAGTCTAGTGTCATCACCAGCCAGTGACGAAGGAGACGATGATGAGGGGAGGTCCGGTGGCCGCAGAAACTCTCTTACCACCTGAAAACAAACATCGCAGCAACATACGTACGCACTGTAGATACAGTATTCTAACCCACATAATTCATTGCTAAAGGGAGTGAAAACATTTATTATGAATAGGTAGACATTGAGTCGCAGTTAAAACTATGCATGTTAGAAGCCCAAAGGCCCTTGCGTTGTAGTCTTCCGAGCGCAGCGAGGATGCTACAAGAAGGGCCCTGAGGGCTTCTAACGCAGATGACTAAGTTCTTTGTTCTTTTCCCTTCAAGACGTGCAGACGAGACTAGTCGAGGTATTATACTACAGTTTGTTGGATATCCCTAGGCAACCGACATGTATGAAGCTAGTATACAGTTACATGCAAGATGCCTCATATTGCGGACGAGATGCCTAACTTATTTAGTGTGTAGGATTGTGAAAGCATGGTGTAGCTGTATATAATATACCTCTTTCTGTGGAAAGTTGGGAGAACTCATCGCTTTCCTGCACACATAGTGTGCATAGGGAGAAAAAAACAACATCACGCCACATTACTAACATAGTAGTATGAATACCTGAACACTGTCAACTGAATTTTGCTCTCAATGTCATCTGAAAGTATACACAAAACCACATCAGTCTATGAATAACTTGTTTCTGCCCCATACCAATACATCAGTCTATATGTACCTCGTAATAAGGAACACCCCTGAATAAAGGACACTTGTTTCTGCCCCATACCAATACATCAGTCTATATTAATGTTATGTACCTCGTAATAAGGAACACCTCTGAATAAAGGACACTTTCTATGTCCACCTGAGTATTATGAACTATGTATGTATATGGGCATAATGCAGGACAACCTGTATCATCCCTATATACTAAGTACTACCGCACTTAGTGGTAGCTACAGTACAAACCTTCTGTGATGGAGCCGTTCCTCCATTCCTGGAACTGGTCCAGGACATCGGAGGTGGACTGGGAACCTGACTTGGAGGCCCTCAGGAACTGGAGAGCCGTCTCTTTACCCACTCCCACAACACCTGATGTCACACACACACACACACACACAATAATGTACGTATATGAACAGTGTAGATTACAGTGGAACCCCAACTAACTGAACTGAAACGGCGACATCTTTCCCTACAAACAGTTCTAGTAACCCCTGAAATAAGTAAACCTCGCTAATAATGGAAACTTCAATGGAAACTTTAATCTGTCCCATTGATGTCAGGACACCTCTAATAAAGACACCTTTTCTTTCCCCACAAACAGTTCTAGTAACCCCTGCACCTTGCTAATATGGGAACTTTAATCTGTCCCATTGATGCCTGGACACCTCTAATAAAGACACCTTTTCTTTCCCTACAAACAGTTCTAGTAACCCCTGCACCTTACTAATATGGAACTTTAATCTGTCCATTGATGCCTGGACACCTCTAATAAAGACACCTTTTCTTTCCCTACAAACAGTTCTAGTAACCCCTGCACCTTGCTAATATGGGAACTTTAATCTGTCCATTGATGCCTGGACACCTCTAATAAAGACACCTTTTCTTTCCCTACAAACAGTTCTAGTAACCCCTGCACCTTGCTAATATGGGAACTTTAATCTGTCCCATTGATGCCTGGACACCTCTAATAAAGACACCTTTTCTTTCCTACAAACAGTTTCTAGTAACCCCTGCCACCTTGCTAATATGGGAACTTTAATCTGTCCCATTGATGCTGGACACCTCTAATAAAGACACCTTTTCTTCCCTACAAACAGTTCTAGTAACCCCTGCACCTTGCTAATATGGGAACTTTAATCTGTCCCATTGATGCCTGGACACCTCTAATAAAGACACCTTTTCTTTCCCCACAAACAGTTCTAGTAACCCCTGCACCTTGCTAATATGGGAACTTTAATCTGTCCCATTCATGCCTGGACACCTCTAATAAAGACTCTTTCCCTACAAACAGTTCTAGTAACCCCTGAAATAAGTACACCTTGCTAATATGGAAACTTTCATCTGTCCCATTGATATAATATATACGTAGATTAGAGGAGTTCCACTGTATACACACATGTGTACACAATGAGTGAATAGCTACGTTCTAGTGTCAGTGACACTGTATGTGTTGTGTATCAGCATACCTTGAGGGCAGTAGTCACACCCAAGCAGAAGAGCCAGTGCAATTAGGTCTGATCGATTCAAAGCTGCAGACAAACAAATTCTATTAGGGCAAACATTTTGTCATTGATGCTGTACGAAGACGAAAATGCAAATCTAGTCAACCAAACGATTACGTCAACATGGCAATAGATGCAACCTTGAATGCGGTATATTAGGAGCAAATGTATGGTAGCGGTATGCTAAAAAAACTGTACCCAGTTTTTCATGTATGGCCTTCATAGTGTAGCACTCCACAGTTGGACTCTATAGAGAAATGATATGTGTACATGTACATATACATATGATACATGTAGATACAGTTCACATGTGGTGGGGGAAGACGGGAGATAGGGGGAAAGACGACAGTTTGGAGTGAGATAGGGGGAAAGACGACAGTTTGGAGCGAGATAGGGGGAAAGACGACAGTTTGGAGCGAGATAGGGGGAAAGACGACAGTTTGGAGCGAGATAGGGGGAAAGACGAAAGTTTGGAGCGAGATAGGGGGAAAGACGACAGTTTGGAGCAAGATAGGGGGAAAGACGACAGTTTGGAGCGAGATAGGGGAAAAGACGACAGTTTGGAGCGAGATAGGGGGAAAGACGACAGTTTGGAGCGAGATAGGGGGAAAGACGACAGTTTGGAGCGAGATAGGGGGAAAGACGACAGTTTGGAGCGAGATAGGGGGAAAGACGACAGTTTGGAGCGAGATAGGGGGAAAGACGACAGTTTGGAGCGAGATAGGGGGAAAGACGACAGTTTGGAGCGAGATAGGGGGAAAGACGACAGTTTGGAGCGAGATAGGGGGAAAGACGACAGTTTGGAGCGAGATAGGGGGAAAGACGACAGTTTGGAGCGAGATAGGGGGAAAGACGACAGTTTGGAGCGAGATAGGGGGAAAGGTGAAAGTTTGCAGCGAGATAGGGGAAAGACGACAGTTTGGAGCGAGATAGGGGCAAAGATGCAAGACTGGAGGTGTCCCCCACACAGATATGAACTAGGTCTATAACCAACCCTCTCTGTTGTATGGAGGTCTCTGTAGACAGTAGTAGCACCATAGAGAAATGAATCGCTGTCATTGGTTAGAACACCATCCGCCATCTGAACAGGGAGAGAGAGAGAGATTTTTAACGGGAGTCAAAAAACTCAAACTTAAAAGTTAGGCGGCACTTTGTCCATATTTGTGTGGGGCATTGAATTCGAACGCTTATAATGTACAGGTTTTGATATTGGTAGTCTCCTGACTAATAAATCTATGTGACTGCACTTGTCATCAGGGGAGTTCCCCATTGTTCATCATGCATTACATTTCGTGTACTTTGTGGCAATTGCAAAATTTCTGTAAAAAATATACAGTGCATCACATGAGGCATTAGTGTAGTTGGATACAGTATATATAATCTTTCAGACGACTATACAGGTACATAGGTATGCTTGTCTCACTCAGCAATAACACATGAAATAGATACAGAGAGAGGTAGTAAAAGTATGGAAAGGAAAAAGTGAAAGATAAAGTTAATACGACTCACGCCGGTGTAGTTGAGAATGGAGCAGAGAGCCTCAGCCTCTCCTTTACTCCTGATGTATGGGACTCCAAGACTGTCCAGTAGATTACAGCACTGCATGGAACACCACAGAATAGAGAATAGCATAGAACAACAGGATTGAACCTTTCTCCCTGAAATGAGGCCAACTCTCTAACACCACAGAATATGGTACAGCTGTGACCCAACTATGCAAAAGTGTACCGTGTAAACGTGCTCGAGGGAGACTTTCATAATTGATATTATGGACACTTTCTTCTGTCCCATTGGTGTACAGCTCTACTGTATATAAGACGTATGTACAGTACACAGATACACAGTATATACCTCATTCACATAAGACATTACCTCATTCACATAGACATTACCTCATTCACATAAGACTGGAGTATAGTCCTTCGACCAGTCCTCCTCCTCCTCTCCTCCCCCCTCCCCTCTCTCTTGTCCAGCGTACCCCACTTCAACTGGGTGGCTTCCCCGTCAATAACAAACACCAGACTAGCTCCGAGACGGTACAACGTCGACACACGGAAGAACAGGTTTCTCAGATGTGGCTTCTGCACTTTCTGTGCCAGACTCTGCATGCATAAATATTATTATACCGTCAAAACTTAACACTTAAAACAGAGAAACTACAACTACAAGTATGTATGTATAATGGTAGGAGTATCAGATACTGATTTACACATAAACTACAACTGTTTGCAAGAGAGCCTCAAAGGAATATTGGCACTGCACTCTTCAGCTATAGTCAAGGTATTCAGGATGGTCGGTTGGCCTGTCCTTCCCCCCACTTGCTTAGGCCACCCTATTTTCCACAGTCACTCCTGTGGATTATTTCACTGCACGCTCCAGCTATAGTCAAGGTATTCAGGATGGTTGGTTGGCCTGTCCTTCCCCCCACTTGCTTGCTAAAAGTACGAAAAGTTTAGGCCACCCTATTTTCCACAGTCACTCCTGAGGATTATTTCACTGCATACTCCAGCTACAGTCAAGGTATTCAGAATGGTTGGCTGGCCTGACCTTCCCTCCACTTGCTTGCTAAAAGTACGAAAATGTTGGCCACCTTATTACCAACCAATCACGTTTTTGCATGCACATAATAGTGTAGAAGCGTGAGCTGTTATTTTAAAGAAGGATAAAATGTATCAGGCACAATTATAGTGCATACTCTGATTTAATAGCTACTAGTATACTGTGTACATTGATATGAATATGTGTGGAAAGGGGTGTTCATGGTCTAACCTTAGCCTTTATAGCCTGACACACCCATCCACTGAGATCAACTGCTAGAGTCCTTCCTGCCAACCTGTGCAAGGGGACGTAAAAATCTATCTTTCTTTTATTTCTCGACATTTGTTTCTCCGTTCACTCTATTCTTATTTCTCTCCCCCCTGTCCCACCCTCACTTCTCTCCCTCCCTCCCTCCCTCCCTCCCCCTCTCTCTCCCTTCCTTTCTCTTTTTGGATCTCCTCTAGTACTTCACTAAGAGCAACCACCGTCCATAAAATGCTAGTTAGTTAGTCTATTTACCTAAGTATTACCTGCTGAGTGGTACCGTGTGTCCTGCAGGCGATATAATACTCCACAGTCCGTGAACCCCCATCAAAAACAGGGTCTGTCGCGGTGAAGGTAACAGGTTTTCGGCTTTGGAATACGGAGGAGAGGTGAGAGAGTGTGCGACGGCGTCCCTCGAGGTTTCACTCAGTAGTCTATTGCCTTATATGGACACGAACACACTGCTCGGAAGGCTGGCTACTTAGCGTACTAGCTACTTAGGAGACCGAAGGCTCAGTTTTCCAGTTTTTGAACAAAGTTCTAATTGGTGCGTATTTTTATTGTATTCTAAATGATGCACACCAGTAAGCCACGCCCATTTTTATCGCGCGCGCCCCACGTAAAGTGGGCCATAATGTAAGAGGATCAGAGGAAAAGGAGAAATGGCAGCAGAAGGAAGCGATTCTGGTAGGCAACAGGACCCCAGGGAGCTCAGGTTAGCACCACTGTCTTTATGATACGATGTGAGTAGAATTAGACCAAGTACTTTTTATATGAAAGCACTGTACTGAAGTGCAAACCCTCGGCGCATTGTGACGTGCACGCGTAAGTCAACGCATGCGCCGTACCACTAATTGATGGGCTGGGTTTAGCTTTAGCTGGTTGTCTCTTGCCAGCTCGCGCAGAGTCTGACGCAGGCTAACTACACTACTAGATAGCATGCGAGAGGCGATACACGCCCTGTGTTGCATCTTCTGGTGCTTCTGAGGTACGCAGAGCACGCGGATCGATCAGACCGTGATAAGCTATCTCGTCCGTTGCATATTGGCTTTTTCGCGCTGTAGCTCTGCAACGGAGCAGTTTCAGAGAAAACCCCACATATTTTCTGACCTTCGTCGCCCGTTGGGTAGATGGAATCGTTTCTGGGACGAACAGACATTCGAGAGGTGAGATGTAGAGTAACAGACACACACACACACCCCCAACTACAGAACCCTCGCTGCGCATGCGCGCCGAGGGTTAATTAAGTCCAAGTACATTACATCATCACTCATGTCTATCCCGCATGCGTATTGTATCACTCGTGTCATCGTCCTATAAATCATCCGCACATGCGCAACAAGATCAGACTTGGGAAAGTCCAGAGTACAAGAGGAGAAAGTGTTTACACATGGGTGACCATACAATGTACATGTACATGTGCGGATGCGATACACAGTTGCCATTTCAGATTTACTCTAACCTACAGCTATTGGTCTTGACAATATTACATGCCATTATAATATAATATGCAGCACTGACATCAGGTTAGTCAGTGATTATTCATACGTAATGTGATATGGTGTACATATAATGTGATGTAATGTATGTATGTATAATTATGTTACGTCTCTGCTACTGAAGACTATTCTCTAATTATTGCCAGTTACTGTCACTATACATACATTACCAGATGAATGTAACGCAGTTGGCGAGCAGCTCAGAGTGCAAAATTCTGCAATGCCTCATACTACTATGTATATTGGTTACTAAGTACATACTGGTATAGAGCTAGGGCTAGACTGAGGAAATGAAAATGATGACATCACTTCCTGTTTTGTGTCATTACTGGACATCCCTCAGTTACATGTGCATGTATCAATGTAAGCAATTTACCATTAACTTTGTTCCCCTACAGGATCTGTTTTGCAGCACCTGCTGTGAACCGCAAGAAAATTGCTT